TGAATAAAGAAAAGCTTTTCTGCATCCTTTGTATGATTTACAATACATCATAGGACCATGTCTTCTTGCTTGCAATAACTTTCTCATTTGTTAAGAGAAGCTGGATGGAGAACACGGTTGTTTAATAGAAGTTTGCTTTTGTAGCAATGTAGCAATCACTAAAATTGACTGTTATCTGCATAGCTTTTATTGAATTAACTCATTTAGTCTTCATAGCCCTATGAGGTAGGTAATGTTAATGCTTCCATTTTACAGATGAGGAAACGGAGGCACAGAGATTAATGAATTTGTCCAGGGTCATACAACTAGTAAGCGGTGGAGCCAGGATTCAAATTCTGCAACCTAAATCCAAAACTTCATAAAGTAAAAAGTAATACAGTACAGTTGGAAGTTCTTAGGCTTTAAGCCAGGCTGCCCAGGTGCCATCTGGGGCTCACCACTTACACGCTATGGGATCATGAGCAGGGTGCTTAATCTCCTCCCCCATCTCATCTGTAAAATGAGGTTGTGCAAATTGAATGATGTAATCTTTTTAACTCCTGGCACATTGTAAGAGTTCCATAAAGGGTTATTACTATTTATGACTAACATTTCAAGAACCTACCCATTCTTTAAATTGAGGGAATAATAATAAATTGCTAATTCCTTATGTTTGTCTAGCACTCTGCTTTCTCCCTGAGCAGGTGAGTTAAGATCAGGATTTCCCACAGGTCTCATATTTCCCCATGGGCTTGGAATTCTGGTCCCTGCCCCACCACTAGCTAGCCCTATAACCCTGAGTCTGTCCCCTCTCCCTCTTTGATCCAGGCAATCCCAGTCCCCACCAGAAGTGCACTGTTTATCTTAGAATTCAATCCAAGCCTTAGTTGCAGCCTTATTTTCCTTCAGGCCTACACTCACCCAGCTGCTCCCTTTGCCTAGAAGATGAGAGAGTTGCCAACTTTATAAATGTGTGTATGAATAGTCATGACTCCCAGTATGCTGGATGGAAGAGCCTTAATATGCTTGGGACAATATTATCCCTGGATGTTGGCCATGGGAATTTGCAGGGCTGCTCCGAGACCTTGCCAGAGCTTCTCCACAGTCCTCAGGCCCAAGAGCTCCTATTGAGTTTGATGAGAAGGAGGGAGAGTACCTGATTCTCAGTTTCCAGGCAGACTCTGGAATGTTGGTCAATGGGGTATCAGAGTGGAATCCTAGCTGGTTTAGGGGCCTGGGGAGGAGCTTGAACATTTAATTGTAGTTGCAAACACTCACCCTAACCCTGCACCACCTCCTGCCCCCGTATGGAAGTCTTGTTAGAGACTGGCGGTGGAGGTCCCCAGCCATCTCTCCCAGGCTGCAGGAACATGGAGGCTGCCTGGGACTTTCTCGTAGGCTTCACCATGCTTTTTTGGATCGGAGGAGGAGACTGGAGCTCTAGCTCTAGCTCCACCGCCAACTTGCTCAATACCCTCGATTGAGTCCTTCCCTCTCTTTGCACCTGTTTCATCAGACTGGGCTGATGGTCTCTGTCATATGTCCAGCTCTGACCCTCTTGTGCAGGAAGAATAGTGAAGAGAAGGATGTTGTGTTGTGGTTAGGTACCATTGCATTGATTTCAACTCATAGTGACCCCCTGTGACAGAGTAGAACTGCCCATAAGGTTTTCTTTTATGGGAGAAGATTGCCAGGTCTTTCTTCCACTGAGCTGCTGGGTAGGTTTGAACTGCCAATCTTTAGGTTAGCAGATGAGTGTTTAACCATTGCGCCACCAGGGCTCCTTGAAGAGAAGGCTAGGAGCTTCTATTTATTTGGAAGGGCTGCTCTCTCTGATCCTTGTCACGTCACTGCCTCCCCTCTGCTGACCATTTCAAGGTGCTAAAAGGCTAAGTTTAGGGGTGCTGAGCTGGACAGGGAAGCAACCCACATACCTACACCAGCTCTCCCCTCCCTTCCAAATGGGGACCAGTGAGTGAGATTCTCCCTCCCTCTCTTTCTCTGCCAAGGGACCTTACCTCTGTCCCCACACCTCTGCCACACCTCGTGTACTGCCCTGTCAGATCCACCTCCAGACCCTGGGAGATGCAGGGCAAGTTGGGGGACACGTTTGGGGGGGGCTGCCAGTCACACTTGCAGCTTCTCTCAAACCCTGCCCCCTGCCCCTGCCTGAGACAGTGATCAGTGACTGATAACTGCCTCAGCCTCACCTTCTCGGAAGCCCTGGGTTTCAGTACCTGGGAGACAGGCCTGGCAAACTGGTGAGAGCCCTCAACTACTTCCCACCCTTTGTAAGGAGAGCACGGGTGGCTGGTGGGGAGAGATGCGGAGAGGAAAGAGAGAACTCATCGCCCTCCAAGGATCCACCTCCTCAGCTCCGAGTCTGAATGCCTGGATTCAAATCCCCGTTCCACCAATTTTATCTGTGTGTTCTTGGACAAGTTACTTTATCTAAATCTCATTTTCCCTGTTTGTTGGCATTGAACTCAGGTCTCCTGCATGAAAGTCGAGAATTCTACTACTGAACCACCAATGCCTCGTTTATCTTCTCCATGACACCCTCTTTTCCGCTGCCAGACTTCTGCCTCTTCTCCCTGCCTGTTACACCTAACTCAGAATCCTTGCCTCCAGGCAGCTTTCTCACATTAAGTCATCCATTCCCCAGCTCCACCTCTTTTCCGTTCCTCGGGCTCTACTGGTTCTCTGCTTATCACCCTGTGCTTGAAGACTGAGTCCTGGCTTCCCTGTCCTACCAAGAGCTCCCTGAGAGTGTCAGGGTCTGGTCCAGGGCTGTGCAGACTGGTTTTAGCACTGGAAGTCCTGAGCAAAATGAAACATTTGGTCATCCTTCCAGCACCTGTGTTGTTAGTTGTCGTCTAGTAGGTTCCAACTCATGGCGACTCCCTGTGTGCAGAGCGGAACTGTTCCATGGGGTTTCCAAGGCTGTGAACTTTCAGAAGCAGATCACCAGGTCTTACTTCTGAGGTGCTTCTGGGTGGTTTGAATTGCCAACCTTTCAGTTAGTCCAGAGCTTCATCGTTGCCACCCAGGGACTGCACAAGCCCCTGTGAGCAGCTATATTTATGCTTGTTTAGTGTATTATAGTTTTCTGTGTTGTTTTCACATGCATTATCTCATTGAACCTTTGGGAAATAGATACTATGATTCCTTTCAGTCTCTGAGGCTCAGGGAATAAGCGACTTGTCTATGATCACATGGCCAGTAAGAAGCAGGGCTGGGAGCTGGAACCAGCTCTTCTGGCTATAAATTCCAGGCTCACTATCGCTTCTACCCACAGAGTCTCCTGGAGACAGGGCACTAAACAGTTACCAAGCAGAGGAAGCGGAAGTTAATGATAAGAAGGCCTGGAGGCTTGAAGCTGCCCACAGGTGGACCTCAGAGACTCCCCACCCTAGGGTGCCTTCTCACTGCTGCTCCCCAGACATCTATTCTTATTCTTTCCCACCTCCCGCCCCTTTTCACCTCTCTAGCTGCCGGCAGCTGTGATATCAGCCCAAACTTTAAAAAAAAAAATATTTATTTGTTGCACAAACACAAAGGAAAAGGAAGTTTAAAATATTAGAAAAAAACCTCCTGTAATTCCTAATAAACACCTTCATTTTCTATGTCACTTTTTAAGCCTGCTTTGCCTGCATTCTTAATTATTTTTTCCTGCATTTTAAATTTTTATGAGTTTATAGCACAGACATCATTTTTATTCTGCTTCCTTCCTTTAACTTTGGACCACAGACCATTTTTCTGAGGCTGGATATTTATTTTATTTTTTACGGTTTTGGATGAAAGCTGCCAGGTTTTTGAGTCCAGAAGACAAATACATTTTTGTTGGCTGACACTGGCGCTCACTGAATGAGCTTCACCCCAGGTGTGTAGTCTGAGACATTGTTTCTCAAAGTGTGGGGTCACAGACCAGTGCTGGTCCATGGACTCTTTGTTACTGGTTTGTGATGACATAAGTACAGAATTTGAGAGTAATCATTTAGGAGAAACACACACACACAAACACACACACAAGTAATACATATATTAGCAACAGAGCAATTTCATTTTTGTTGAATCTAAAAAGAAAAAGATTAAGGCTTGTCTTTTGTGTATTTTTTATCTCATTTTTATGGTAATTTTATTTGTATCTTATGAAAGTTTTGGTCTGCAACAGATTAGAAATTAAAACAAACAAACAAAAAAGATATTTTGAAATAGCTTGTCTCCTGGTCTACAAGATGGTGTTAGGTACTGGTAGATGCTCAATGAATCTACAACCAGACCATCAGTACTAATGGACCTTATCTGTTTTGTATTTGAGGAGCCCAAGGCTTACAGAGCAGCACAAGATGTACCCAGCAAAATGCAGGTAGCTTTGAGAAGAGTCCCCTGGCTTTCGTTTGTACTCAATGACCACAATACCATGTTGTCATGTGACAAACTTTGGGGTGTGCATGGTGATGATAACAGTGGGGAGCAGAAACAGGGTGTGGTATGTCAGAACAAAGCTTTGCTCCACCAGGACATTGCTGGGGCAGTAGGTGTCTCTACCCTTGTCCCAGCTGTGGTCCTCAGGTAGCTAGACACCCTTTAGCTTTGCCCCAGTTCTCTCAGGCACACCCCAAAACAAACAACTCAATGGTGGAGTTTCTAAGAGATCGGCTAGTTATTTGGAGAAACTGTATACGAGTTTCCAGTAAGTAGATCCTGAGAGATGATTTAACTCTGATCTCTAAATGGCAAGAAATGTATGATAAATGATCAAGTTGGGGAAGTTTATGTACAATGCAATTTCTGCAACTCATAGGTGTGAGCTTTTAAACAGACAGTGCTGCAGGCAAACTAAAAATTAATACTCCCCTCCCAGGATTCTGAAGTTGCCCAGCCCAGTGAATGCATGTATACATACGGATGGAGGCAGATCTCTTGCCAAAGGAGTCATAGCTCCTACCTTCCCTGGTCTTTGCTTCCTTCCAGCTGGGCCCTTTCTCTTGTCTGCTTCTGTGGATGCTCCAGCAACCATGAGCCAACAATTCAGTTCTCAGTCCACTTTTAGCTCAAGGAGCAGGCGGGTTTACAGTGCAGGCTGTTCTGCAGGCTCTGGTGGTGGGAGCCGGGCTGTGGGATCTGGTGTCAGGCCCGAGGGAGGTGTGGTGGTGGTGGATATAGGGGCTATGGGAGGGGGGTTGGCTCTAGGAGCCTCTACAATCTGGGTGGCAGTAAAAGCATCTCCATTAGCCTAGTGAGGAGAAGTGCCAGTGGTTTTCGCCAGGGTGGGGGAGCAGGAGGGGAATTTGGAGGAGGCAGAAGTTTTGGTGGTGGTGCCTTTGGAAATGGTGGCATTGGGGGTGGTGGCTATGGAGGAGGTAGTTTTGGTGGTGCTGGGTTTAGGGGTAGCAATTTTGGGCTTGGGAGCTTTGGTCCTTCTTGTCCTCTGGGAGGCATCCGAGAGGTGACCATTAACCAGAGCGTCCTTCAGCCACTTCACCTGGAGGTCGACCCAGAAATTCAGAGGGTCAAGACCCAGGAGCGGGATCAGATAATGGCTCTCAACAACAAGTTTGCCTCCTTTATTGACAAGGTGAGTACCTCAGGGGCAGGCAGAGTCTTTGGACACACTGACCAAATGATTGGGAGGGTCTTGCGCCCTGCCACAACTCATCTCATCACACTGTCTCTGTCTAGTGGCCATAATCACTTCCAGATATGTATGTCCTGGGACCTTAGGAAGGCACTTGTCTCATTTAGGCCTCAATCTGACTTCTTGGGGGGATTTATTTTCATCTTTTCCTCTTGGCAGGGAAGCAGATAAGAGGTGTGAAAACACCCAACAGACAAAATAGATGGTGTAGCAACCTCATTCTCATTCATCTTTATTCATTTTCCATCCATCTACCCATCCATCCATCCACCCATCCACCCATCCACCCATCCACCCATCCACCCATCCACCCATCCACCCATCCATCCATCCACCCACCCACCCACCCATCCATCCATCCATCCATCCATCCACCCACCCTTCCACCCATCCACCCATCCACCCATCCA